ACCAACCCCAACTAAATCATCCCAGCCAGAGCTTTGTCATGCTGGGACTTAAAAACCTCTATGGATGGAGATTCCACCACCTCCTTAGGTAACCCCTTCCAGTACCCTCATATTAAAATAGTTTTTCCTATTATCCGACCTAGACCTTCCCCACTGTAACTTGAAACTAGTACTTGTTCTCCCATCTCTCACTACTGAGAACAGCCTCTCCCCATCCTCTTTGGAACCTCTTGTCACATTACTGGATTTTAAGAGGATCAGACAGGTCCTGAGGGGGGGAGGGACTGCCCCAAAGTCTGTACAAAGGGGGCCATGTGAGATGTCAAATGAAATATTATGTTCTACTTATTTTATGTATGTTACTCATGTATTTGTGTGATGTCTGTATATGGAGTTATAACTCTATACAGGCAGTCCCCGAGTTACGCGGATCCGACTTATGTCGGATCCGCACTTACGAACGGGGCTTTTCTTGCCCTGGAACTCGCGGGTGGCGGGACCACCCAGATGCGCAGTGGTCCCGCCACGGCATCCTCCGGGGCGAGAAAAGCTGCTCCGGGTGTCCCTGGGCTGACTCTGGAGCCAGTTCCGACTTACATACAAATTCAACTTAAGAACAAACCTATAGTCCTTATCTTGTACGTAACCCGGGGACTGCCTGTACACATAGAGATTTCTTAGAATTAAGGAATTTCTTTGGGGGACTTCTACTCTGCTTCTCAGTTCCTGAGAATGCACATGAAATATATTAAAAAACCCACACACACTAAGGCTAATCTATTAAAACCACATACTACCTGCCAGAATATAATAGTTCTATGAACCAACATACTATTAGATTCAGTTGTTACACCTTTCATTAAAGCATTACATTAGGGACCACTCCTGCACTTTATGCATGTGAGTAGGCCAGTAAACTCAATGGTACTGCTAACATATATAAGTGGTTTCCCATTTGGTCATTCACATCCCCGAATGCACCATGAAGCCATGCTTCACCATCAGGCTACAGTTAAATTTTTAATCCAAGTCTCCCTTCTCACCCTGCAGGGAAAACTGATCTCCCCCTTTAAGGTCAACATATCGGTTTGTCAGCGAACTACAAAAAGAGTCCATCAAAAAGCAAGGTCTTTTTGCACCTCTTTAGGACGGAACATCGGCGTCTGTAAAACTGCCATAGAATTATGGAGGAGCTTTTACTGGACATTCATTTGTTCAAAGCAATTTAAGACGTTCTATTATGGATTCCATTGCTACACTACTACTAAATTCACACTTCACCATATTTTCCTCCTCTGTCAGCCTCTTCAGCTATTTCTGCATACTTGCAAAAATAACTTTGCTGGATGAGCGCCATTACAGAGCGCTTCTCCACATTGGTGACCTTCCAAAGCCAATAAGGATTTTGGCAATGCACACTACTTATTTTCTCACAAGAAATAATGTTAGCTCCCCAATTACACCACACTGCCCTTACTTTTTTGTTTATTGTTTATATATGTATTAGAGCTAGAAAGAGGTAAAAAACAAGGACCAAGTCTGGTTGCTGCTCACCCACAAGAAGTCCCTGTAAGCGTAGTAATACAGCCAGTCATGTACTACCACATTCCAAGTTCGATAATAGTTTGCATATGATGTGGAATTCCACCAATCCTGAAACACACAATTAAAGGGGAGAAGACAGCACATAGCTGGAGTTAGTGACAGGCCTTCTATGGACTCTTGTTTGAAAACTAAGTTCATAAATATTTGAGCAGACTAGTTGTTCTAACCACACAATGTATCATCCCAAATAATTTAATAAGTTGCATTGCAAGATTTTACAGGTTATGGCATTTATTGCATCTTTATCTTTCAGGGGTATGACACAGCTACTCAATTAACTGAGTTCTCTGGAACTGCAATAGTAAAACAGAAGGAAAAACTTAAGTGATTGTAGTGCTAATGAAAAGATTTGACAGCTCTGGTGACTGAAGTCCTGTTTACTCTCAAAACATATAACGCAGAGACTGGCATGTCAAGCTTCCTGCACATGCTTCACTGGGATGCCTGAATCCGAATCTAGAGGGACTTTGGAGAAGGAACTTCCTGCTGCTCAGATGCCTCATGCAGCAGAGTTTCTAAAGTTCTTTTCCTTTCCTGTCCTATTTCAACAGGAAAAAGCAATTAAGCAATTCTAGAAACTTCAGAAAACTAAAATAATGTTATTTTGGGTTGATAAAGATAGATGTTATTGTTCTCTACAGCTCAGTATAGACATTGCAGAAGAAAGACCTTGTTACCTTGTAAAACATTCTGTCTGCAAAGCGCAGCATCTCAGCAAATGCATTAAGCCAGCAGTGAAGGAATGCAAAAAAGACCAAGAAGAGAATCAGAACACCTGGGGATACAGAACAAAAGAAAAATCCTCATTCATTTTACAATATCTGTTAATATCCTAGTCTATGATCAGGGATATATAAATAAAGCAATCAAGCTATCTGCTGCAAACTGATTTAACTGAAGGAACCAGATTTTGCATTAATCAATCGAAAAGTATCTTTTTAAAAGTAATATAACCACACAGTACACACATAAGCTGCTCTATACTGCAGAGACTGTTGTCAAAGGAGCCAGAATTAAAATTTAAGTTCTGTTTGAATCTTTCATGCCCTCAGCTATAATACCTCATTGCTGAGCTTTCACAAGATCCCTCATCTGATTTAAGAACAGCAAGTTATCCTTTTAGTTATCACAGGATAAGTGCATTACAGGTAGGGATGTTAAATTTAGATTAATTGGCTTATCGAAGAGTCAGCTGACCCCTTGCTCCTTGTGGCATTTCAAAGTGGCAGTGCCACATGAAGTTTAGGGTCAGTGGGGAAGTTCCCATCTGGCCCTAGGCTGCATGCAGCATTTCAAGGTGGCAGCGCCACATGGAGCTCAAGGTCTGGCCCTGGGCTCCACGCAATGCCGCCACTTTGAAGCACGCCCTCATTCCCCCCCCCCCCACACACACACACACCCTGCTGTTTCTTTCTTATAGAGGCAACAAGGGGGGAAGAGGGGGAAGCATCTAGTCAACTAGTGTGTCAATTATTGGATAGTCGACTAGTCGTTCACATCCCTAATTGCAGGTCAGCCATGTATGCTGTAATGACCAACTCCCCCCACCCCCAATAAGAAACCACTCATCTCTCATAAATCCTGTGGGCAGGAGTTTGACTCCGAACCCCCCTTTTATAAGCCGAGTCCTTCTGAGAAAGATGAAGGTTATAACAGACACCTGGATCTCACCTGGCAAGATGGAATTGAAAATGCAGAGGACCAGCCCTCGCAGATTGAAGGGTTCCTGACTTATGTTCCGAAATGGAGGGATGCAGAGTCGCACAAAGATGTAGTAGGCATAAAAAAGTGAACCAATTACCTGTAGCACAAGAGCAGTCATACTCCATAAGAAAAATTAACACACAAGTAACTGTAACACAGCAATTCCCACCAAGAGGAAGAGATGGCCCCAGCCTCAACTTCCTACAACTAACTTTTTGGATTAGAGACAACATTCAACTGTATTTCATAAAACTCCAACAACATTCTAATTGTTTTCAGTGAATGTTGAAGCACTGTTCCCAGATGGCTGGTATGGGAAATCAATACATTGTTGCTGTTCTACCAGAGTAGCTTTATACATTTCTCCAAGTCCCCTCACTAATGTGGCAGTTGTGAGTAGTTCCAATATAGTGTGAGATGCTGCTGCTGCTGCTGCGTAGTTTTATGCTGCCACCCAAAACACAGGTGAGAAAACTGACAATTTGGATCTAACCAAAATAGACATATCTGAGTACACATTATATATTGTAATAAGACCCGTAAAAACCCCGTTTTTGGTTTATCAAGCCCCCACTCAAGTTTTAAGACAGTTTCTGTCAATACAGTAATTTGACTGGATGAATATCCTGACATGTTTTGCAATTGCCTTTCAGCTCACCTAAGGCCCTTTATAAATGCACATCAGCTGCCATAACTAAAGTACACATTTTGCCACCACCCCTTTCCTTCCACAGCCCAGGAAAGAGGGAGCTGGGTCTTGTTAGTGCCATTAGACAGAAAGAAGGATTTCTTGTGAAATGGCAGAACTCCAGGTCTGACCACACTGAAGTTCCAACTTGACCTGGAAGTTTCTTGAGATTACAGGAAGACATTATGTAAGACTCAGGAAGCACACAGGCAAAGGAAGCAGTTTCTTGTCACCACCTTCCCAAACTCACAAAATCTTTATCAATGCTATTTTTAGAGACGTGTAAGTGTCCCCTGCATCAATCTCAGTTTGAAATAATTAACTAAAGGTTATTTACTTGGACAAAGTATGGCCATTAAAATGATAAAACAAGTAACAAAGATTAAATGTTCAGATAAGCACCCAAAAGCCTGGCTTGAAATGTCAAAACCTGAAGTGTTCAAAACAGAGCTGGTGATCTTAGAAGAGAGATATACTAGCACTTGAGTTTCTGTCTGAAGCGCTGATGTAGTACACAAACCTTTTCAAAAAGGGTGTGGTTCGCAACTAAGGTAAAGATTCAGATCAGCTTTGTTTTGCAAGGCAGTTAGCCCTTCTTCAGTATCCACAGTATATTGGTAAAATGCTTACTGGTGTTTCTATTGCACTGTGTATCAATATAAAAGTCAAGGGTCATGAATTAAAGCTAAGGAAAAACCAGTTTCTAATTGGAATTTATTCAGGATTTTGTCAGCGGGTGGATAAAAATGGCATCAACTTACTAAAGGAAGCAAATAGTATAAATGTATTTTTCTTAAAGCATTAGACGAGTATCTGACAAAATATTTTGGGGTACGAAATATGAATAGCAGCAGGGATCAGAGATAGTTTTCTTTTGTTCCATCGTAAGAAGAGCTTCTGTATTTTTCTAGTGAAACTCCTTGCTAAATAATTCACAGTAAGCTGACGCGTCAAGCAGGAAGCGTATGGCAATTCTAGAGAATTCCCAGACTATCAGAGGGACAGGTGTTAATATGATTAAAACTAAACTCACCTGTGCAAACTTTGTAGCTACATAACCCCATCTTATTGTGGGATTCCTACAAAGAGAAAGAGCACAATGTTACAACAAATGCTTCCTTTCAGGCAGCCAGAATCTCACCCAGTAGGATTACATTCTGTAACCATCCCAACCCTGGAGTACAGAACCCTTTGTTTAAATCAGAAGTTTAGCCTGTGAAATACTGATGCTCTATAGAAAGTTCATATGGCTCCTCTTATTGCCAGCTGGTAAACTGCATTAAGACAGCCAAAGATATTATTTTTTATGTATGAAATTGCCCTGGACATATTATCCAATCACATAAGGAGATAGTATGAATGGGAGGAGAGATGACCAGTGTCACTGAAGTGGGGCCCATACTATGAAAGTTTGAGAACGCGTACGTGTATTTGAACCTTTAGGTTCTTCTGAAATTCAAGAGATGGAACTGTGTAGCAACTCCATATTATGTATCGAATTTTGAGTATCTGTCTATCTAAGACATTAGTCTTCAAAGTTTCCTTTCTTCCTAAAGACACTGAGCATCTGGTTGTTTCATTTCTAGGTTTAGTTCTAAACAGTTTTTTTTTTTAAACTTCTAAAATACTTAGTGAATGGTTAGCAGAAGGGAAGTCATTGGGGAACTATTTCTAGCCCTGCCAGCAGCTCGCATGCAGAAACTCATCTTATCTCTCTGTGCCTTCAGTTGTGTGAGGGTAGTTTCCACCTCAGAGGCATTAAACATTAGCTCAGAGTTTTTGAATACTACATACAGATATCAGTGTTGATATTACCTGGGATAGTTGTCCCTGTAGATGAGAGTGGGAGCAAAGAGGAAATACAGATACTGGGTAACTTGGGGAACTGGAATGGTGCCTGAAAGAGCAAAAAAGCATTTGGTAGTAATGCATTCAACATACTGAAGGCTCTGTGCTTCCCTCACTAGCATTCTGCATACTTTACACAAGCCTCCTCTCTAGTCATTACCCTGGAGTCTTTGGTAAAGAAAGCAGAATTCTCCTCAGATTTCCAGGAAAAAAACCACAGGGAAACATTAGTAATTAAGCAGGTATTCTGCTTGGGACATGTAGTTCAGAGAAACCAATGCAGCCACTCAGTGGACAATGTTGTTATTACACACAGCGGTATTTCTAGTTACTGCCATTGTGTCATGATTACTGGTACCATGCGTACCTCAGGGCCAGAATGTTAGTAGACCAACACCCACACCTGGGCTCTTATTCCATGCCTACACTATTGTGCAGTTCTAGATGGGTTTCTGCCTTCTTAGAGGGGCAGTCCTTTGGACTGAAGCATTACACCCAGCCTCCTCTACCATTTCTCAGGGATGTCCTATTGGTAGCAAGGCCACCAGGACTGCAAGTAGAAAAACCAGCGATGTCTTGGTTAACTTACTGTCTCTCTAAAACCATTTCCAATTCCACTTCTTTGTACTTAGTCACTCTGGGTGGAATTCACTTTTAGGCAGAGGGCCACCACAAAGCCCATGTGCCTCTGCAGCCACATTAAAGACCCACTTACATCTGAATATTAAGTGGTGCACAGAAGACTTGGGTTGACCGTAAGTATATGGGGTGACTTTCATAGTCCTGGGGGAATTCTGGAGACATAGTTAAGTTATAGAATTCCCCCAGGACTGAATTCACCTCTAGAGAAAGAGAAAGAATCAGAGAGCAAAAAGTAAAACAACTTATCCATAAAGATCAAGTGGAAAAAGGGTATGTTACTCACTTGACTTCTCCTTGGCTGAAGATACAACTCGGGGAATGTTCTCCCTAATGAATGAATAAGCCTTCATAATTAGACGAACCTGTAAAATGAGAGTGTGTCAAGGATCCTATTTTTCAACAATTCAACTTCCTCACCCTCCCCACTCCAGCTGGGCAGTAATACATCTGGGTAATGCTTTCGGTGTACTAGTCTCTTTTCACTTGATCCTTTTAAAAGGTATGTGCTGTTCCCCCTACAGGTTCATCTCTCAACTGAACACGCTAAGAGTACCAGAAAGGGCAAGAGTGCTAATAGTAGCGGTAACTACTGCCTTTTTCCTCACACCCAAAAAAATCCAAAAATGTGTTATAAATTTAGTTGGAAATTAAAATGAGCCTATGTCCATGTGCAAGTATATAGAAATCCGAGTAACCAAACACCATCTAGACTAAAGCAATGAATCACATTACCTGGAAACTCCAGCTGTTCTCAGCACTGGAATTATTGATGTTCATCTAGAATAAGTCTTATCTAAACATGGCTCCATTTTTTAATTGAGAAACAAAAATACCATGTAGGAGTTGAAGCAAGCTGGCACCAGCACATAAGCTGCTCTACAATTCCCTTTTTTTGGCGCCTATTCCCCCCACCCACAATTTCCTCTGAAGAACTGATAAGTCATCTGAAGAAGTGGGCTGTGCCCACGAAAGCTCATGATACCATCTACATGTTTTGTTAGTCTTTAAAGTGCTACCAAACTATTTGTTGTTTTTTTACATGTATCCTGTACAGACTAACTCAGCTACCCCTCTGAAGATTTTGATAATTGCTTGGCAGTTAATGATCCTCAAACTTGCTCCCTGAGTGCTGGTGAATCTTCTTTTGAGATGCCCACAGTGACAACTGTTTCTAGAACTGCAGCCATCAGGACCGTTGAACACAAAAAGTAAATATACAGTAATCAACTCATGTCTAACTTAGTAACTAAGAGCTGTTTCTGGGTTACAGTGTAGTTGTACACACCTCTCTCATCTGACCCCTTTAAAAGCTAGAATTGGTCTAATTTTAATTATACTTAATCTAGTCAAGATTAGCTCTCTCAATATGGAGCTGTTCAGTTACCACCTTCCTATATGGGATACAGCTGAAAGACTGTGATATAGTACAGATTAGAGTAATAGAGTATTACAAAGAAATAAATCTTATGCAACATTTGAGCCACAGAAGCAGCATTTACTACATTAAACCGTTTGCTGTTTGGATCAATATGGCCATATATTTTATATACCACAGATCTTCTTACAAGAGGATATGAGCAGTCTGCATTTAGATTCACAAGGCACACAAACTCCCTCCCCCCCCCCAAAAACAAACAAACAAACAAATGCTTGAATTTAGAACTAAGTATTAGAAGAAACAAACACCAAGAAGGTGAATGGCTATTTTAGAGTGAAACCATTCAAACCTCTCCCTCCCATTTTGGAGCATATTTATGCACTCTTCAACAGAGCAGCAAGTAAAAGGAGTGCAAGGTTGAAATACAGCCCAAAATTAAAGCTTTAGAAATTACACAGATTTGTTTTGCCCTTTTTATGGGTATTGCGCCTTATCTGTTGCGTGACTACTTAACTAATTTACATCACAGACAGCAGTCAAATGGCCTTCAATGTTTACTTTTATTCAAAAGACAGCCAATACTGGGAATTGATAATATTTCAAATATTTCCACTTTTTACTTCTAGCAGACACATGGGTACATCCAGTCTACAAACATCTGATATTTTAAAAATATAGATGCAGTAGTCTCATGCAATTGTATCTGATTAAGAGAGTTGACATTGATAAATCTGTAAAAGGGTACATTTATTGAAAGCCTGTGAATAAACCAGAAAATATTTTAAATCAGAAATGGCTGCCCAGAATGATGAGGTTTATTAGTTACAAACTGTGACTGTCTTTGCATATGAGACAGGCACTACTATAACTTTAAGAAGGGAGTTTCAGGAAGATTTTTCCCAGACAAATTTTCACTCTGGCATCAAAGCCATTTATTGTCCTGTATCTAAAGTCACCATGCAGGGACTCACCTGTTCAAGTATAATAATGAACCGAGAGGCTGGGGGCAGAGCATACGACACAGCAACGTACGTTGGTCCAAACCCAAGCCCGATGGTTTGGAAGAGCATGAAGAGAGTCCCGAAGAAGAAGGCACGGATTTTCCGGTGGGAGGAACAGCAGTGGCCTTGGGCCCACTGCAGGAAGAGGCCATAGGGTAAAATGAATGTGGACAAAAACATGCAGAGCCAGGTGGAAATAACAACAGGAAACTTGCCAAAAGCGAAGACTAAAAGATCAAATTCAAGCACCAACCTAAAAGAAACAGATATGAAACATAGCCAGGTTAGTGGCATATGGTGTTCACAATCTCTTTTTATTAAATCTTCAAACTCAGTTCTGCTGTAACCATAGAAAGGGACATTAGCAGACAACAGCTGGTGAGTGATCTCAGTGCAGTTTCTAAATGGAGAAGTGCACTAATCAAAACCAAACCACGCTCACTGTTGTGGGCAACGCTAAGGTCTGATTCAGCAACATATGCAAGCACATGCTTAGTCTGAAGTCATATGGGAGTTAAGTGCATGTTTAAGGTAGCGTATGCTTAAGTATTTTGCTGAGCAGAGATGAGCTTATGCACTTTATGGTAAGCATCTTTTTAAATGCTTTATTAAGATCAGTACCAGGCTGAGACCTGGAGACAGCTTCTCTCACTGCTAGGGTGGGTCCCTCAAACAGAGAGGAGACATTTATTGGGAAGTGAGAAAAGTTTATATTGATACCTCTACGGCTGTACTTACTCTGTGCACAAACAGGATTTCAGACTTTTAAAGATTTTTAAAGATATTTAGGATCAGATTTTTAAGGTATTTAGGTACCTAAAGATGCAGATAGGCACCTAGTGGGGATTTTCAAGAGTACCATTTAATAGCTACTGATTTTAGATTTTAATAGTTGTATATGGAGGTGCCTTTGAAAATCCCTCTAGATACCTTGAAAAATCTAGCATTTAAGTCTACTTTAACAAGTAGAATTAATTTCCAAGTAGATTTGCTATAGAATATAATTGGTTAGGTTTAAAATCATGAAGAAACCATTCAAATCTGCACATGTGAATATTGTGACTGGTCCTTCACGTTTTTTCCCCCCTCTAGACTCTAGTCCAAGACATTTTAGATTTCTATGCTAGAAGGGCCTTCATCCTATAGATTTAAAATTCTGCTGGCTCAGGATGGGCGCTCAGGTACATATACCACAAACACACAAAAGCTTAAAATTTGTTCATTCCTATCCAGATTCATATTAGGATTACAAACTATACCGAGACATTACCTGATCTATTTGAGAAGAATGTAAAAAAGACATTACTGCAGATACTATTATGACAAATTGCTACAGACCATCTGTTTCTCTGTATGAAAGACAAGTCTCCAATATTACTGCCCATATAATTTTAACTGAAAAACAACGCTAAGCTTCCGTTTGGAAACCCTGGTTGCTGCCAGTTTACATTCTTCCAGAACTATGTGTGTCAGCTCTCATAGATGAAAAAAAACATTATCAAATCATATCATAACTTGTTCTAATAATGAAAAACAAAGAAGTTGTCTTATCAGTAAGATAAACACATAGTTTAACTTGTAATCTCCAGGGATAGCTGCCAAAACAACTACAATTTAAGCAATAGAGTCAAAAAGTCAGAGGAAGACTGTCTCTGTCAAGCATATTCAGTACTGGCTAAAAGCATCGAATGCAGTCACAACTGAGTCTGTTCCAGGATTTTCAAGGTTCTTTAGAACAACTTAATTTATATCTATTTAGCAATAACAGAGTCCTTCAGAAGCAGGTTTAGTATAGTGTATTACTGCTGCAGGACAGAAGACTGTCAAAGTAATTGACCTCTCTCAAAATAGCCTATACTGTCCTCTTTTCAGCCAAAATGTAGTATTTTAGTGTTGGTATAAGAATACAAGTATAATGATAGTAACAAATCATATATGATTTGCTTATAAGCTTTGTATGCTTCTATTTCACTCTGTCTCTCATGATTAGGGAATGTTTGCTGTAAGGTCCTGCTTCTTTTTAGCATTACAAATTAAGTTGTGCCTCTTGAAGGAATAAAGTTTGTTATTCCTTCAGTAACTATATAATCCCTTCTAAACTCTAATCTCATCTGAAAACTGCAAAATTGTTTCGTGTGAGTGGAGGATGTCTGTAAGTATGAAGGTCATCATAAATGTCCAGATGATCAAAAAGAAGAGGGAAATTTGAAGATAATCAGGAAGCAGCCATGGTGCTGAGGCTGAATTAAATTAGCAGAATTAACAAAACCCTAAAGATAGGTAGACTCTTCCCCCCCCCCCCAAAAAAAAAGAGTAAGACACAAACAAGAGATAACAATGGGAAGCCTGACAATAACCATCAAAGAATAAACTGTGGGAAATCTTGAGATTAACACCTTTTAAGGATAAATGATTGAAGCATGATACTGAAGTACTCAGACTCAAATGAAAATTTACATATATAAAATGGGGGGCTTTTGCCATTAAACTCTAGGTTGAGTCCTGCAAGCCGAGCCTCACTCATAATAGATAGATCCCGATGCCTCACTCAGTCAATCTTGCATAGCCAGTGAAGCATGGCATATTGCCTTTTCCCCTGAAAAAGATCCTGTGTGCTTTCTACAGGCATAACACTTTCACTTAACATAAAAGAAGAATCGCCACCATTCAGTCCTTACTTCTGGTTGCTCTGAGAACAATGAAAATAATCCATTTCCACCTTTATGTGGAGTTCTTGAGAACCGCATGCTTCTAGCCCAATTCCATTAGATATCATATTTCTAGGATATATTCCCAAAGCATTTGAGCCACAGTGAGCAATGTTGTCTCATCTCCCCATGCTTTTTGTGATCCCCCTGTCTGTCTAGTATGTACATTCGACCGCTGTTTTTAAAAGTTAGTCTATTTACAAGTTACGAGTCCAAACAGCACTATACTTGGGAGTAGGAGTTCCCCCCCATTTTGTAACGTTGTGTGTCACTAATTTTAAATGATCAATTTTCAATGTTAATGAGCTTTTTCCCTTTCAACATGGTTCTCTTACCTTCCTTCATCAATATAGTCTACTACAAGTGTGCTGAGAATGAAGAGGATGAGGACAGCGATGAACATGTGGTAGATTGTCCGGATGTGGTTCACTTCAAACAGCTCACTGGGGAAGGGGTCCAAAGAGCAATGTCATTAGCACACATAGAGAGAGCATACTCTTGTCTACTGTTCTTTTTATCTTTCTATGAAAAATCTGCCCCAACAAGTTCAGCACAAATGGGAGACAAGAGAGCTAGAAAATAGTTCTGACTTGCTACATGACTAAGCCCCTACTCCATGCCTCACTCTCAATCAGAAAGAGTATGTGAATTAGGGTAGTATGTGAATTAGTTACTGCTTGTGAATAAGACACTAGATTTTCATATAGCACTGTCCCAAAGTTCTTTTTTTGCATGTGAGATAGGTAATCTTCAACTTTATTTTTACACAAGGAAATTAATCACAAGATTAAATTACTTGCATAAGAATCCAAAAGGAGACTATTATCATTTAACAACTGAGACAGGCCCCTTAAAAGCAACTAATACAAGCAATAAACAGTTTCTACCAAAAGGAATTTGAATTTGGGGATCCTACAAGTGTTGTGATATGGCTGCGTCCTGCTATCTCCATTTTTCTAGAATATGTGGACAAGGGAATAAGGGAAAAGATTTTCAGAACCCACTATATATTGGGGAAAAGTCAGGCAAGTAAGCAACATCACTCTGTAGATTCAGAAAAC